GACTTGACAATTATTCTTATTTTAATATTATTTAATTGCTTGATTTTAGGGGGAAATAATTATAAATTGTACGAGAATGAGGCATTTTAGGGGAAAAACACATTATGGAGTAATGAGATTGAGGTTGTTAAGGGAAGAACATGGCATTTTGCATATATCTAGGCCTCCAATATCCCTTTTGTTTTTGTAAATATCATAGGAATAGATATTTTCACTTTTCACCAAATAATAAAATATGTTCAACACGGCACTATGCCAAAATAAAGATCTTGAACGTGATTTTGGATTCGGCTTTTCAAAAACGATTTTATGTAACGAAATAGGATACTATGTGTAAATTGTTTCGTCTTTGCAATATTATGATTTTTTTACGTGACTTATTTCATGAAATGCTAATTGACTTGCAGGTCCCTATGAAATGAAATGTGAGATCGCCTTCGGGTCTTCTCAAATGTGTCAGAGCTTTCGATTGTTCACCGATTGCTCTTGATGAAATGATGGTATGAAATGTTATATATTCATGTTTTAAAAGTTATCGTATTGTTTGGATGCACATATCATTCCTTCAAATTTTAACATTTCAAGCTAGGTCGTGGATGGTGGCTGAGCGGTGTGAGGGTTGCCAAGTAAATAATTTTTCAAGAAAATATTTTAAAATAATTCTATTAGGATATTATGTGTTTCGTTTTAATTCCGTTTAATGTTTTATGTTACGTGACATTTTTATTATTATTCAGTATCTGAGTATTAAATGAATTAGGAGTTTTAACCTTTCAATTTTATTTCTGCTTCATGTATGATTATGGAATGATATCGATAACATCCCAATATTTAAGTCGATAAAATTCGGGGCATTACATATACATTGATTATATTTTATCTTTTCAACAAGTTTAGTAATGAGCATAGTTGGATGGATTAGATAATTTTCTTTTTATGTTAATTAAAGGATAATTAGCACAAAATGTCTCTATCTTTCAAGGTTTTTGTAGAAAACGTCTATACCTTTCATTTTTTGATAAATTTCACTCACTTTTACTTTTTTTTTTTTTTGGCGCAAAACATCCTTCAGCCAACTCCCCATTAAAATATTCCGTCAAATAAAATAAAATGGATATTTTCTTTTTAAAATGCAGAGGTAAGATTGTCCGAACCAATTTGTTCTTTACCTTGGCTTCGCTCCATCCTTCTTCAAATGTCCATAACTAAAAAAGTAAAGTAATATGAAAAAAAATTGTACAAAATTATTTCATTCAATAAAATAAGGGAAAATGACGCAAATAACTGTATTTCTGGCTGAAAAGAATCACGACTTTTGTAATGCTTGATTGCTCAAACAATTTTGGAATGGTATGTGAAGAGAATGAATATATGGTTAATAAACTTAAGATGAACATCCCCATTTCATGCTTATGAAGGGTGTAAATAAGGGGTAAAGTGAGAAAACCAATTAAAATGTAATTCTATGAATGGACAATACATAAGATGGAGAAGATGATGAAAGATGAACAAGTATTCTTCCCATTTTAGTATAAAATCGAATTGGTGGTAATAATCCCTATCTTTACATTGTATTTGCAAAAAAATCCCTACCTTTACATTGTTTTTGTGAAAAACATCCCTACTTTTGTTAAAAATTGTACAAACCGTTCCTACTCAACAAAACCAGGATTCAATGTTGAAGCCACGGTGAAGAACAAATTGGTTTGGAAAATCTTATCCCTGCATTTTGAAAAGAAAATATTCATTTTATTTTATTTGATGGAGCATTTTAACGGGAAGTTGATGGAAGAATGTTTTGCACAAAAAAAATAAAAGAAGGTAAAAGTGAGGGTAAAATTTTCCAAAAAATGAAAGGTAAAGATGTTTTATACAAAAATCTTGAAAAGTAGGGATGTTTTGTGCTAATTACCCTTAAATAAATAAGGAAAATCCCCTTCCCAAGTCGTACTTGCACTTTTCATTGCATACGACTTTCTAACAAAACCATTAAGTATACTTTAAAAATGGAACTTTATGCCTCCAAATGGCGAGCTTTCCCAAGTGTCACAGGTTATTCACACCACAAGCCAAACTTCTACAGGAGAAATCCCTTTCTATATCGTTTATGGGGTTGAAGCTATAAATTTGGTGCAGGTAGAACTTCAATGAGATATTCAATAACGAGTTGAGAAGGTACAACTCGACTTTCTTGAAGAGAGGATGGATAGGTCTCAAATGAAACTCGCCTCTTACCAGGGAAAGATTGTCCTACTACAATGCCAAAGAGAAGAGGAGGTAATTTTGCATCGGCGACCTTGTATTGAGGAGTCTTTCTCTCTGTAAAAGAACCAGGCGTACGCACAATGTACCTTGGAAAGGACGACCGTATTGTACAAAGAAAAGCTACGACCTGGAACATACAAAATTGAAGACCTGGATGGAAAGACAATCTCATCCATGTAATAGAGTGTGCAAGTATTATCGATAAGCAAGGCACATAACCTCACCTAGAAGATCCTTCCCAGTCCTTGTACAAACTTCTTTATTTAATACAATAAATTTTAGTGCTAAGTATTTTCAACTCTTCATAATACGTTCCATGGTTGAACAATTAACCATGGAAGAAGCCCTTTGCATAAATGAACTATCCACCATAGAAGAAGTTCTTGGCATAAATGAACTATCAACCATGCACAAAAATCAATCTATTTTGACATGAGAGGAGAGAAGCTCCCAAAGGCAGCCTACCTTGTTATCCATGAAGATGAATCCTTTCATGGCCGAGCCACACACACCATGTAAGAAAGTCAATTCGCTTCGAAAGGAAAGGTGAGAAGCACCCTAAAGGAGACCCACCTTGGTATCCATGAAGATGAAGCGTTTCATATATAAATCAGCCATCATGGAAAAAGCACTTGGCTTAGTTGAGCTACCCAATGTGAAGAAGTCAACTGTGACCACATCATCTTCTACAACTAGAGTCTAATCCCCAACCACTTTCTCCACTTGGGCCATTTTATTCCCTAAAGCATCATCTCAAGCTTCAATAAAAACTGCTTCAGCATCAAGTTGACCTTCGATTATCCTCCCGAATTCATCTTCAAGAAAAGTTAGATCTCATTTAGGATCGACTTCCTAGAGGGGAGACATCATCTCTTGGGCACTCTATGAAGCCTAATAATTAGCGAAGTCATCATAGTCCTTCCTTTTGTCGAAGTTCTCGATGGAGTTTTGGATGGTGACTTTCCCAACCGTTTTTACTTAATTCCGTAAGGATTAAATCCTCTCTTATGAGCCTCCACCAATTGCTTATACTTAGTCTTTTCCTTGTTCGATGTCTTTAGAGTGTCAGCAGCGTGGCGTTAATGCTCATTTTATTAGTCCACTCGTTTGTGAATTTTATGCCTTAGGTAACTCGCTTCAATTATGGCAGTGTCCAATTGTAGCTCCACCTCAATCCTTTTCATTTTTGCATTTTCCACATTCGACTTAGCATTTATTTACCTCATTCTCCAGCCTAGCAGATGCCTCGACCTTGTCCACTAATTCTCTGTTACGAGTTTGTAAGTATTTGAGGAGGTCTTGGGCAACCAAATCTGCCCAAATGCTTGATCTGTGCAAGCATTGTTGGCCTTAAGTAGGTCATCAGCATCACAAGAGGTGATATGGCTCTATCACCCTTTCGTCCAATAGTTGTAATGAGTCGTAGTAGTTGTTCACTTTGTCACTTCGTCTTCAATGTGAAACCTTTTACTTACCTTTTGAAGCTGCTCACTTTGTTTTTTGTACGCTACAAAGGTTGTCTTCAGAGAAAGAGCTTCAGTGACACTTCACCTAATGGTCACAAAGTTGAGCTCTACCTTTTCTAAGTGAATTTTTCTGCAAAACTCCAAATGTTAGCACCCATAATAGAGCGTACTAACGATGTAAATTAGTCCAGTGCTAAATGAGCTCAATGGTTACCTTGAGAGGCCATTAATTTGTTTGTTGTTGATGAGGTGTATGTTCTTTTCTATCAGTTCAAAGTAGTTTCACTATTTGTGCATCAACTAATAAATAATGAAGATGTTGTCCCACTTCTCAACTGATATCTTGCCTCGAGGTAAATAATCTACGACAAATCTTTAGATAGCTTAAAACATTAAGGAAGAGGTCATAGATCATCAAATATGCTTGTAGTTGATATGGTGGGAACTGTTAGAGGTGCTAGGAAGCACTATCCATAGTGTCTTATTGTCTTGAATTCCACAAAATGAGGAAATATAAAGGGATTGGAAAATGGAAAAAGGCATGTGGATGCCATATGCTGCCTCGTGCCTGAGCATCCATGACCAAACCATTGAACTTCAATAATTTGGATTAAGTTGGGTCGATGCTAAGTTGTAAGACTACAAAATGAGGTGAAAGAAAAAGTGAATGGTTACACCTAAAATTGGCTTTCAAAAGATTTTCACTAATGGCCACGCACCTCAGCCTTGGGTAGTAAGCTCTCTCATAAGGCTTGAGAACGATGAGCCCTACGTTGTCTCAGATCCTATAAGTTTCCTTAAAAGTTTGAAGCTTTGACGAGTTCATCCAGATCGTTAATTCAAAGCCTCTTATTGTATTGATGTGTCAACTACCTCATCAGGCATTCTCCAGATGTGTTTCCTCGGCCTAATAAATCTCCTCAGAGGAGAGTGCACTTCGATCCCTAAGAGAAGAGAAAACTATAGCCCAATCATCTTCCTTTACCTCACCAGAACTAGTTCTAGAGGTCTCTAGACATTTTTTAACTGTTGTAAAAACAAAAAGATGGAGAAAAATAAAAGGTTGTTGAAGATTTACTTGGAAAAAGCTTTTCTAAGGAGAATACCCCTCAAAAATCACTGAGTGTCATTGAAAACTTCAAGAAAATCACCAAGGAATCGAAGGTGTAGCGTAATAGTGTGTTTCTGAATTGCAAAGTAACGAGTTTACAAAATGGATAAGTACGCATTTTATGGGTAGAGGTGACAAACCTCAACCATTATATCTAATCAAGATTCATCCTGGCCATTCATTCACCAATTTATCAAAGTAGCTAAGTTGAAACTTCAAACATGATTAAGGGCCCAAATGAGATGGTGTATCTAAAATGCATGTACAGGCATGTCATCTCGAAGTCATCCATCTGTAGGTCAAGATTAGTAATAATTACCTAAGGATCCATGTTTTGGAAACAAGTGACGACTCAGCTGGTTTTTCTTGGAAACATACAACACCTTTCAAATCAATGGCATAAATTGAAAAATGTCTCATTGGTTCAGAGGCATGAAATCACCTGTACTCCAACATGTGAATTATTGCACTACCTTGCCTCTGCCTACCAACTTTCAACAAGTTGCTTATATTTCAGAGTCTCATCCTCATGCAAGCAACTTGCCTTTGCTTACCAGCTTTCATTGAGCTATTTATCTTTCAGAGCACATCCTCATGCAAGGACCTCACTTCAGCATGCCAGCTTTTCGTCCTCGTGCAAAGACCTTTCCAGCTTTCGTCAAACAACTTATCTTTCAAAGCTTTATCCTCATGCAAGGATCTCACATCTACCTACTGGCTTTCATTAAGCTGACTATCTTTTAGAGCCTCCTCATGTAAGGACCTCACCTCTGCCTATCAACTTTCATCAATGTGTCCATCTTTCAGAGCATCGTCGTTACATCAGGACATCGCCTTTGCAATACACCGCTAGCATAGCTACTCTATGAGGTATCAAAATATTATCTCCACATTTTAAATTTATACATTATACAAATATCAACGCCAAGACTTAG